CATTTTTACAATAAGTTTCCAGGCTTTTTAAAATTAAATTTACATGCTTTTGACACGGTTCTCGAGGAATCTTTTACAGGGTTTTTACATAGTGAATTAGCTCGAAGTTTTACATGGTTTTTCCAGGATTATTACAGCCTTTCCGAAAAAAGTGTAGATATTTACATGGAATTGACACAGACTTTACATACAATTCAAAAATTTACATACCATGTCAATGTACATTTTTGTTGGAAATTTGGTTTTACTGTAAATTTGCAGTAAAGTTACATTATTTTTGCAAAGTATATAAATCAAATTTTTTTTCCAGTGCACACCGGACGCGATTGGACAATTTAGTTTTTGAAAGTTAATAAAACAGCCAATGAAAGCAAATTTTAAAAGATATGTGGATCAAATAACTTAAAATGTTATAGCACTTCTAAATATTTGGAAAATTTAAACTAGGATCAAAGTTATCGTTCAATGAAAATCGAAAAATCGCGTTACGTTGTCGAATCGCGTCCGGTGTTCATGCATGTATGGACCTTTAAGCGCCAGCGTAATCGGCTCTACATTGTATCGAAGAGGGCACTTACTACCTGAACGGAGTTTTGTATAACTTGTATATCATTCTCAATTATCTTACGCATATATGCAAGTATCAAATGTAGTTTCGAACGTAGTCGATATGCGTATTCACTATTCAATATTCTCTATTCATATGATACGCTATGCATATGATACGCTATGCATATGATTGCATACGCATATTCTCATATGATATGCGTATTCATTGATAGGGCGTATAATACACATATGATATGCGTATTCATATGATACGCTATGCGTATGATATGCGTATCATATGCAAAAAAGTGTTAAGATATACGCAAGTGGTACTGTATATATTATATAAATTTTAATATTACTAGTTGATCGCTTTAGGCTATATAAGTATATTATATAGTTACATATGTATTTAAAAACCGTATCTCATGATATATATTATATAAATTTTAATATTAATCCTTTTAAGCTATATAAGCATATTATATAGCTTTTAATACGCATCAAAATATCGATTTTTTGCAACAATTTGAACATAATTAAGGGATTGTAATCTTAGTTTCACGATCCGTAACCCTATCTTACCAGTGGTACCAGTAGTACCATTCGACATTTTTTTCAAGGGTACCCCAACTGCCATGACCCTTGGTTCACGGATGGTAAACTTATTTTCACGATCCGTAATCATATCTTACTAGTGGTACCATTTGACATTATTTTCAAGGGTACCCCAACTGCCATGACCCTTGGTTCACAGATGGTAAACACAATGACCGGTTGCTATGCAGTAGTTTGCTCCCGGAGTCAAATTGCGCGCGTATATAGGTTTCCGGTTTCCTAGCTGCGAATTATGGCGCGGTTCAAATACTGCGTCTTTGGCGCTTCTGTTTGCGTTTATTTTACAACGTTTTAAAACGATACTTACTCAATCTGTACAACATCCAACCGTTTATTGGCTAGTCTGCACAAACTAGCTATACGGTATCTTGAAAACTGTAAAATGTTGGTGTTGTAGTAGCCATGTATTTTCGCCTTTTGGGCGATGAGAATCACGCCGAGAATGACAAATTGTACTGTCTAGGGGTCCCACAGCATCGCACATGCATGGCCTACAATCTCCCCTTGAAAACCCTACTCAATTCGCAGCATTGCCGGAATTATTAATGCAAATAGCTAAGAATTCGGCATTATTCCTTGTTTTTTTAAAATATTTTTGTTGAAACTTGATTTCGGAGAGACTTTTCAAGGCAAAGTTGAAGAATAGCATTGATTTAACAAGCCTAGATGGATAGCAGTGCAGGACAAAGGTGAGGAAAAAAGTCTCTTTGACGAATTCATTTGCATTTTATATGCGTTCGTGATGCGCCATGTTGTTGCTTCACCTCCCTCTGTGTTGTCTTTCTAGCTCGATAGATTATTGCCGTAAAAGTCAAACATGTGATACAAATAAAGGACATCCAGGAAAGTGCAACAAACCGAGACCACTACCCGATAGTTTTTGGGAAAAATCTCCGTTCTTTAGGCTTAGAGATGGCCAAGGAGACCTGTCACGCAAGTCACGCGAGGTTCATACCAAAGAAAGGCAACTCGAAGTTTCTCAATCAAATCTGGTTAGACAACGTGAAGAGTTGGATTTATACGAAACGTCCATGCATGAGAGGGTTAATATTGCCAGTAAGTATTATAAAATGTTGGTACCTGACTTTTTATGCCGATAATTTGAAGGTGATTGCTGAGTAGATGTCCCCCCCCCAATATGGGGTAAATTTCCCGCCATATGACGTCAGCATTTTTCCCGCCATAGGACGTCAGCGTTTTTAGGAATAAGGGTGACGTCATTTTTGGAACATTGTCGAGTAACATTTGTCGCGTGACCTTTTGGAATTTTGAGATGGCGTCAGCAAGTATTTGTCGCATAAACATTTGTCGCATAACGTTATTGTAAAAAAATATCATCCTTGTATTAAGGCGCTACTGATACCAGTTCGAACCGGATTTAATATACTGTATAAATTGAGGTCTTCGAGTGTACAAGAGCGTAGTGTTTACACAGCTTTCACAGAGGAAAAAATATTTATTTTAAAATGGAAGGTTTATATGATAGGCATGATCTGTTTGCAGCAATGTCTATTTGATTTTTGGGGGAATTTGAGAGGAAATTTTTCATTTCTTAAGAGCAAACTATGGCTTCTTACCAGTGTGATCGATGTCTGAAACAGTTTTCGTCTTATTATAATGTCAGGCGACATAAGGCGGACCATTGTGCATATGCAAAGATTGACGATAATGCCTCGATGGATGGAGGAGGAAGTAGCTACTCAGATGAACAAAGCGTGGACTCTTTTCCAGACGAAGAAAGTGTTACGGAAACTGAGGAAGATGAAAACAGTGAGAATTCCGGAGATGCTGGTGAAATAAAGGAAGAGATTGATCCTTGGGCAACCATGATTGATGATGCAAAGGCGACCGTTCGACCAGAGTATGATGAATTTATGAAAATGTTGCAAATGGATGGGCAAGAAGAAAGTGCAGCTAAGCAGAAAGCCTTTGAAAACGTTCTCCCTGAACTTCAGAAAGAATTCGCTGACGTTTACGTGGATAATTTACGATGGATGAGTGCACTTAAAAATGATCCTGTGCATAGAAAGATTATGGAAATGAAGGAGACATTAGCGAACAAAGACTCGTTTGATCCTGATGAAGCTTTATCTGCAGCGGTTGACAAAAGAAAGTTTCTGTTGAAACAGCTTTTAGAAGATCAAGGACGTTTTTCAGATAGTGATGAATCGATGTAATGTTCATGTGAAATAAATATTTATTAAAACTGTATTGTGCCTTGTTTCATTGCAACAATAAGTCCTTGTAGAAAAATGGACATTAGAGTTTAGCCGTACCTTCTACTGGGCCATCGGGCCTAATCGGGCCAAAAAGTGCCATTTCGGGCCTTAATGCGAAGAATGCGAAGCAAAATGCGAAGAATGCGAACCAAAATGCAAATAATGCGAAGCAAAATGTGAAAAATGCGAAGCAAAATGCGAAAAATGCGAAGACGCATGAGCAAAATGCGAACTCAATGCGAAGACGCATGAGCAAAATGCGAAGACGCATACGTACCCCGAGGGAAGCCTTGGGGAACACCTATAAATTTATGCAAGCAAAACAGTATCGTAGCAACATTATTTCGCTCTAAAATCATTTGCACAGTTCACATGCGTATAGGCTCATTCGTAATGTCCCACAATCATTGCATCAATCGTCTATCACGTACATAGATACAAATCTCTTGCTGTGTATATAAACTGTTGATTATGATATTGACGAGTAATAGGTCTTTTAGCTCAATAAATTTTTACTACGTTTTTGGTGTTATGCTACCTGCTTTTGGTGTTATGCTACCTGCTCTTTAATGAAAGGTTGGAATGCCAAACGTTTTCTCGGCTGAAAACTAGACACATATAAACACATTTTTATAGCAAAGTAAGGAAATAAGACATTTATATTGTTCTGAAAAACAATTTAAAACTTTAAACTACACGTAAAAGTGCCCTTATGCACAATGTTCTCTGCTCCAATACATCAGGTAGCTCAAAATAGCCTGGAAGCCTGAAAAATTTCCTCTCAAATTCCCCCAAAAATCAAATAGACATTGCTGCAAACAGATCATGCCTATCATATAAACCTTCCATTTTAAAATAAATATTTTTTCCTCTGCGAAAGCTGTGTAAACACTACGCTCTTGTACACTCGAAGACCTCAATTTATACAGTATATTAAATCCGGTTCGAACTGGTATCAGTAGCGCTTAATACAAGGATCATATTTTTTTACCATAACATTATGCGACAAATGTTTATGCGACAAATACTTGCTGACGCCATCTCAAAATTCCAAAAGGTCACGCGACAAATGTTACGCGACAATGTTCCAAAAATGACGTCACCCTTATCCCTAAAAACGCTGACGTCCTATGGCGGGAAAAATGCTGACGTCATATGGCGGGAAATTTACCCCATATGGGGGCGGCACATCTACTTTGCTGGCTGTTTTGTATTGTACATAATACAAACTCGGGTGAATTGAGCTTAGTATTACAAACCAGCTTAAGTTACCAAATAGTATAAGCTGTTATTGTAAGTTATGTAATATCAAAATACTAAAGCCACAAATTGTAGATTTTTGGATTGAAGGCATTCTGATTGTATAAACTAGTAACCAACCCTTACCCTTTCAGGCAGAATTGATATCGGTTTACCCTTAATGATCATGATAACATGAAACTGTTAGGAGTTCCAACCGATACGCAGAACATACTTGACATCATCTTTAATTAGTTTTAAATTTTTTATGTAGGTCATGATTTAAATGCATCTGTTGCGAGAAAGGAAAATGTTGATAGAGAGATCACTGAAGTTGAAGAACATCTGCAGAATATTTCCCAGGAGTATGAAAAATTAAAAACCTTGCTGGATCAGAAGATTCGTTCCCGAAGACAGAATACCAAAACAACCATTGATACCATCAGTGTTTGTCTTTCCAGTGTCCGGTTCAGGCGGAGACAAGAGGCAAAGAATGTACTTGAGTATATTCATGGTGGAGAAGATGCGGCAGTGCTTGGAGCTTGGGATTTTGTAGCAGCCCATGCAAAGAAAGAACTGATGAACACATTGATTAGTAAGTACAGAAGGGGAAAATACTTGCAAGGGGTAGTCAGCAAAGCCATGAAAGAGTATAACCAGTCCAAAGATTCCCTCACTCAGGCACTTGCTTTCAAGTATCAGAATTTTTTGTCCCGACGAAAATTTAATTTGATGTGCAAAACACAGTCTTCAGTTTTTGATCCTGATGCTGAGGTCTGGTTACCGCGGAATATGAAGTGCTTGGGAGTCAATGTAGAACTGTCACTTAGTAAAGTTTCAGATGATAAAGTTGATAATTTTGTAAAATCATTAGATATAGGAAGTGTTAACCAAATTCCAAATGTACCGGGGGTCACTAGGACCATCACAGGCCTTGTTTTTATGATTATTGATTTGCATTTACGATTGCCACATTTTTTTTGGCAGCTTATTTGGTTCAATGAAAATACTAACCATTTCATTTTCCAGTTTTCTGATGATGGGGCCCCTGAAACCAGTCAGCTTACAATGTCGATTGGTAGTATAACATTGTGGAATTTTGGGGAAAGGGTTAGAAGTAGGGAATTTCAGTATCTACTTCACTGTGTCAGCCTAGGTGAAAAGCATGAAATTTTTGAACTTCTTTGGAGGCAACATACTGATGAAATGCAGCTACTAGAATCCAGTGTTTTTACCATCTGTGGAAAAGAGTGCACAGTTTAATTTCAGCCAAGTGCTGATATGAGCTGGCAGAGTTGGGCCTGCAATGAATTGAATCAGGCTGCAACATATCCTTCTCCCTATGCAAATGTGAATAAGAATGACATGTGTACTCTGGGTGGTACAATTGGTCTTGATGCCAATGATACTTGGACACCTTACACAAATGTTCTGCGCACTGAACATGTAAAAAAGGTTAATACTTATATTGCTTCTCTGTCCACTACCCTTAATAAGAATACCCGTCATGACAAAATGCTTGCTTTCGTGGCTGAAAATGGGATGCGCCAACTTGGTGCACCCAGGATTGGGATTTTTGCTGAAAGAGTTCGACCAGACCCCCTACATTGTGAAATTAATGCCTGGCAGCATCTTTTAGATTTGATTTACAGTGAGTCTGTACAGCGTAACGTCTTCCATACATTTATTCGTATATTATCAGCCCCTGTCGGTCTTGAGGTACATTTGGGGCAGAATGAAAAACAAAGTGATGAAATAAATTATGGCACCACTGCTCTTGCTTGCTCTCAAGAACCTTCAGCTGTAGATGACACATTGTCCAATATTGTTCTACCAGCGCGTATGAACATTTTAGAGGAACAAGCTAGAACCAGCCTATCCACAGCACTTTCTTCTCTAACTACAGCAGATTCTTCTGCTACTGAAGTATATGGATGTGGCCTGGCATATTTAGCATCCAAAATTAAGGAGCATTATAGCATTGAAGCTAAAAAATTAAACAAGTTGCCAACTCGATTAATTGGTAGTCAAGCAGTGAGTCTTGCTAGGCATGGCTATCGACTTGTCGATGCCTTAGAGACTGATGAAGAAAGCCCTTTAGAGAACATTAGACATTTGGCTCTTTCAAAAGCATGCAGTTCAATATTTGAGAAACGCTAGTGGATTATTTAATAAAATTAATTTAAGTTCACTTGGAGAAGTGGATCAGTTGACTGAATTCTGCCAACTATACTTCAATATTCTTGTTCTTTTTTTTCCTTCAAGTATTAATATTACTGTTTGGACAGTGGGGTATGCCATACCTTACCATACCAAAAAGTTGTATGAAGAATACAAAGTTGGTTATGGTATTTTATCACTTCAGGCCAAGGAGTCAAAACATGCTGGCATTAAAGGTGATCTTTGTTTAACCAACCGGTCAAACAAAAGCACCACAGGTGGAAAGTGGTGGCAAGTTATGCGCTCAAGCTACATTAGGTCTTTCTATCTTCCAGAACACCAACTGGCTCCCCCATCGTATATTTCGCATTTTAAGTCACACACACCTCCACACTCCAGCATCATTGCTTATTGTGTTTGTGGAAGAACTAAAGATATTGTGGACGAGCATTGTCCGGTTTGCCAAGCTGCTAAATACACCATCATTCAATGTGCTAAGGAGAAGAGGTTATCTGATGAAGTTCTTTCCATCTTTAAGCCAATCGTTTGTAACAAATGCAATCAACGTTTTTCTGATGTAACTAGTTTGAAAGTACACACTGATCTGATTCACCGTCCCCAGACTCTTGCTTCTGGGAGTGAAATAGATCCTTCCTTGCTTACAGAGACTCGGCTGAAAAGTATGAGTGTAGCACAGCTCAAGGCAACTCTAAAAGAGAAAGGCCTGTCCACGTCTGGTAAGAAAGCGGTTTTAGTTATAAGGCTGGAGGGCATACTCTCAGCTAATTTATAATCCCATAATAATAGGAAGTCAAATGATTCGCATCTCCCTTTATATTCACCCATTCACAGTAAAATCCCCTTTCATCATTTTAATCTGTCTAACGCCAGATGATTTTACTCGTCAATGGGCCATCTGAACCCTAAGACCTTATCATAGGGACCCAAATCTGCAATATATGCCATGACATGGGTTAACTGGTGGCTATTTCAGAGGTTTTCATTATAAAAAAAACTGGTCATTAACTGAATCATGGCAATTCCTTATTAATTTGTTTTGGTTGGTATTTGAGTTGTTCCAAATAATTAAAAAACAATAATCCTATTTCAGTGTGCGCCTCAAAATATTAAAACTTTTGATTGCATTGAATACACAGTGTGAAATCAATTTATGCCATATGATAAAATAGCAGGAGTTTACCATGCTACTGCTAATTAAATTTGGACAAATGATGCCAATTCTGAATGAATCATGGTTAATAATCAACATTGTGGCTGTTGTGAATACAAATTGACTATCAAATATTCAGAAAGTATTTTAATGGTCTGTGCCAGGCTACTGTGGATAGTGCTTCGGATTCAATTTGATAGGCATACAACAACTTCAACGTTTTGGAGAGGAGTTAGTAGCAGGGGTCGGGGAAATTACTAGCCTTTTATAATTGTAAAAGCTTGTAAACAGTATAAGTTCTCCATCTATTCAGTTGTATCCCTATCAATCCGAAGTATTCAGAAATTATATTTCTTGCCTTAAGAATATAATTATTATATAGACCACATTTAACTTTTAGAATGTCTTGATTAACATGTCATAAATAACATAATATAGAAGTATATTTACATGTAAATATATTTACATATATTTACACTTTAATTACGGTATTACGACAGTACCTGGTAGTACCAGTTCAGGGAAAACCCAGTTAAGCGAGCACTTTGGCTTCAGTTACACAATCCGGATTCGCATGGGAGCGACATCAAATTTTACTGCTTCGAGGTGACTTTGACACTTAAAATTATGATAATATAACATAATTAAACAGAAGCTTCAAGTATGAAAAGTTGTAAGAACAGACAAGACTGGAAAACACCTTACATTGTTGTCGCTCCAATAAGAATCCGGTATTATGTAACTGGGGCCTTAATAATACTTCGGCCAGTGTCTATTTGTGCCACACACAAAGCGAGATATTATGGACAGTACTTGCATTTTATTGTTTAATATAAGATCGGTTAAAACATTTGCCTCTGTAGAATTTTTTGTAAATAAAATTTGGTTGGGTAAGTGGACCTACAGATCTCTCCTGTACTGTAGTTAAATGGAACTAAATAGACATCATGTAAATCACATAATAATCTAATATTTTTATTATTAAAACACAATCACAACATTCCAGTGATGAATAATTGAACAGTTTAATGTACTAAAATTACCTTATTGATATAAAATGAGAATGAAGATTTTAGACTATCTATAGCAGTCTCTATACTGTATAATTATAATATAATTATTAAATATTAAAACCAAACTGTTCACAGGGTCAGTTTTTGCCTAATACCACACCAGTAAACATTAAAGGTTTCAGACTACCATACTTGAATGTAATCTTATGGCTGATTTACAGGATGCGACAAGTCATAAGTGAGAAATTTGGCATCAGCAGTCATTCTCAAACTCCAGAATCACAATCATAAATGACAGGTTTCTGAATTTATGATTGTATAATAAAACAATTATTGAATTAGGCTTTCGCATTATATATATAGAATTATCCAGACTTAGGTCAATGACACACGCTCAGCCTCATCCAATAATTGTTAATTAATATCAGGTAAATTAAACTTATAGTTAAAATTTGTGGCTGTAATTACAATACAACCACTTAATTATACAAGTCAACAGACAACAGCATATGTTTTTGCTGGGGACCAAACATAATGGGTTGTTGTAAAAATATATGCAGTACACACATGCCCCATGTGTAATTAATGATATCCACAGGAACTACGGAGGAGAAATCAATTTCAGCTGGTAATTTTAAAATGCACTCGTATGTGGAAATGGACATATAGGCTTCTGGAGATTTCGCTTTAAATTTGTCAGATCCAGGAATATTTGTCCCATGGCACTGATATTAAAGATTTTTGTCCCGCACACTATATTTCACTTCACAGGGTCATAGCTAGATGTTATAATTGGGGGGGGGGTATATTCATATATTCCTATTCACATACCGTAAAAACAATCACTTTCAAAGAAATCCGTTGGCAGAACACAAATATATGAATATGCACCCCTTCCCCCAATTATCGGTCTAGCTACAGCCCCGGAAGTTGAAACAAATTCAATGTATCTCAATTTTTTCTGCCTATGAAATTTCAAGGCAAAAATATTCTAAAGAAAACGTTTTAACTTTTCAAATAAAATGGAAGGAAGAGAGTCCCATATTAAGATAAATGGCACCTTGGTTAAATCACTTGTCAGATATAAGACACCCTATCTCCAGAGTTCAAAACATTGATATGGAGGATAATATATGCTTTTAACTCCAAGGGCAAGATGTCTTATATCAATCAATAAAGTGAATGCTTGCCAAGTACTATAAACTTGAAGACCAAAACTTTAAACATGAAGCAGGTAGAATTACTGACCGTATTAAAATTATAAACAATATTGAAATGTTTAGACATCTTTTATGTATATTTTAATTAGCACTCTTGGCAATGGTTCAATCCAAATTGGAAACACAGACGCAAGGGCAAAATTTAAAATGTAAATAAAAGATTATGTATATTGTAGCTACTATGAAACAGACACATTCTATGCACCTACCAATTTTTTGTCTACACTAATGCTCTGCAAATAGTCAAATAGCAAGGGTTAAGTAAAAAAAGATACTAAATTCCCTAGACACATATACCAGACTGGAAAGTTTGAA